GCCCGTGGCCCGCCGGAGGGGACAGAGCTCGATCCATTTCGTAAACAAGTCCTGTAACACTAAGAGGTACGCGAATCCGCTCTTGCTCGTCGGCAGCGGCCCCATTATATCGGCCGCGACTACGGTCCACGGAGCCTCGACCACCCTCCGCCCCATTAAGCCGACCGGTACGGCTTGCTCCACCTTGGTGCGCTGGCACGTGTCGCACCGACGGACGTATTCGGCGACGTCGCGAAACATGCGCGGCCAGTGGTACCGCGTCGCGAGTCGCTGGTAGGTTTTCTCGACGCCGAAGTGGCCCGCCTGCGGGGTGTCGTGGTTTGCCCTCACGAGATCCCTCCGCGACGCGTCCGGTATCACTAACTTCCACTCGTCGCGATCCTCGACCACCTCCGAGATTACGGCCCGCGGCCGTCGGGTGTACAAGCGTTCGTCGGTGATCCTCCACCCCGGGTATCGGCGCGGATTTTCCTCGACCGCGGCCGCCCGCGCGTCGTACCACCCGTCCCCCGTGATCGCGACCGCGCACCACTCCTCCTCCGTCTCGCCCACTCGCGACAGCGCGTCGGGCACGTGGTGAAGCGCGCCCTTCCGGTGCTCGATGGCGTAGTCGTATTCGAGTAGCTCCAACGCCCAGCGCGCCAACCGCTCCGTCGGATTACGCAAGTTGTGCAGCCACCGGAGGCTGCTGTGATCGGTGACCACCGTGAATTTGTATCCCTCCAGATACGGGCGGAACTTCCTTATAGACCAAATCACGGCGAGACACTCCTGCTCCGTGGTGGAGTAGTTCCGCTCCGCGTCCGATAGCGAGCGACTCGCGAAGGCGATCACGCGCTCCATCCCCTCGATATTTTGAGTCAAGACGGCCCCCAGTCCCACGGTACTCGCGTCCGTCTGCACGGAGAACGGTACCTCAAAATCGGGGCACGACAGCACGGGCGGGGAAATTAAACGGGACTTTATGCTCTCGAAGGCGTCCCCCTGTTCCGACCCCCATTCCCAGCGCCGGTTTTTCTTGAGTAATCGCGTCAGGGGCTCGAGGAGTGTTGCGCAGTCCGGTATGAATCGCCGATGCGGCTAAATACTCGGCGTAGCCAGAGCAGGTGTTCGTCAAAGGTCTTCGTGACGATCACGATATCGTCCAGATAGGCAAACGCGTGCGGCTCCATTTCGGGCCCTATCAGCCGGTCAAGCAAACGCTGGAAGGTACCGGGCGCTCCGGTCAGCCCGTACGGCATCCGCGTGAAATGAAAGAGCCCTTTTCCCGGCACGGTAAACGCGGTTAACTCGCGGCTGTTCCGCTCCAACGGGATCTGAAAATACGCCTGGCTCAAGTCAATAGTCGATATATACCGGGCCGACCTTAGTTTGTCTAGAATCGCGTTCATATACGGCAACGGGTACGCGTCCTTCTTCGACACGCTATTGAGGCGGCGAAAATCCAAACAAAACCGATAAGTACCGTTCGGTTTCTTAATCATTACTATCGGTGTCGACCACGCGCTCCGCGACGGCTCGATTATCCCGGCTTCCAACATTTTGTCGACCTCCTCGTAAATGGCCTCGCGGATCTTGGGCGACACCGGATAATACCGCTGCTTAATCGGCGCGTGATCCCCCACGTCAATCCGGTGTTCCGCGAGCGTTGTTGCCCCGGGGCGCTGGGGGTCCCCCTCGATCTCGCGCGTCAAGAGCGCCGACAGGCGGGCCTGTTCCTCCGCCGAAAGCGCGCACAGCCCGACGCACGTGAGCGGAGCTTCCCTCGTCCCGTACCGTGCCCCCTCCCCGCGCGCCGTTGCGTCTGCGGGGTCGCCCGCGTCCACGGCCGCGACACTCGCCCCGTTCTCTGGCGCGGCCTCCCCCTCGTCCCCCGGTGGCGCCGGCACTACGCTCGCCACCGTCCCGACAGCGGCGCTCTCGAAGGGCCGCCCGCCCGCTGGCTCATCCGCGAACCGCCACGTGCCCGAGGCGTAGTCGACCGCGAGGCCCTCAAAAAATCTACACCGAGAATGCACGGTAATGCCAACGTGGGCAGCGAGTGCACGCGCATCCCTCGCGTGCGCCCATCTACCGTCACGGGGGCCTCCACCTCCCCCCTCACCCGCGTGGTCTGGTTGGTCGCGGTGGTCACACGCTGCCCCGTGGTCGAGGCGAAGCTCCAGCCCGCCGCTCGGAGCCAGCTGATTATCTCGGGACCGACGAAGGTCCGACTCGACCCCGAGTCTACTAACCCGCGCACCTCTCGTCCGGCCAGGTCCACCCGGAGAAACGCGAGTGGCGCCGAGCCCTCCGCGCCGAAGGCGCTATATACGACCGCCGGTGTCGCATCCGGGGCCTCCCTGCTCGGGGAAGCGTCGGCAGGGGCTTGTAGCGAAGGAGTCGACTTGCCCCCGGCTCTCGACTCCCTCACTCGTTTCCCGAGCATTTGGGGCATGTTCGCAAGGTAACGTCGACGCGGCCGCACCGATAACAGTGGACCCGCTCCTCATCGGGGCAGTCCCGCGCGAAGTGCCCCTCCGCGTCGCAATTCCAACATTTCCTCGCCTTAGCGCGCGCGCCCCCCGCGCCCCCGGTCGCGGCGTCCGCGGCGGCAACTGCGGGTGCCCCTGCGCTTGTCGCGCGGGGCCCCCTCCCCTTCCCCCCGCCGCCTCGCGCTGGTCCACCGGCGCCCGGTTCGCTCGCGCCCGACACCTGCAACGCAGCTACGGTCCCGACCCCTCCCCCCGCGCGCCCCTTCGGCGGCCGATACGCGAGATCGGGAAAGAGGGACTTCTCCGGCGGCGGCGGCGGGCGATAGCTCAGCGCCGCGTTGTACCGGCTCTCGGCCCGCACGGCCAGGAGCTCCAGCGTGTCGAGGTCGCTCGCGCTTTCGCGGCTCACGCGGTCCTGCAGGCGCGGTAGCATGTGGCGGAGCGCGTACCCCACCTTCTCTTCCTCGCTCCAAGGCGGAGACAACCGGCTAAATAGCGTGTTCATACACGTGAAATAATCGGCGACGGGCTCGCTCTCGCCCTGCGTGCGCCTCATAATTTCGTCCCGTAACGCGAATTGGAAGTCCGGATTCCCGAAACGCGTCCGCCACGCCGTTTTGAAGACCAGCCACGTCCGGAAGCGATCGCGCTTGGTCCGGTACCAGCTCAGCGCCATACCGGTTAAAAAGAACGGCAGGCACTGCAATAGGTCCGCGTCGGAGACGGGGATGAGGCCGCGGCCCTCCTCGATGCGCAATAAAAAGGTTTCCCCGTCTTCCCCGCGCGCCCCCGAAAAGTGGAGATTCCATTTTCTCATCGTGTTATAGGCATCGCTAGCGGAACTACGTCGGGCGGCGGCCGGGGCGACCGGCCCCTGCGCGTACAGCGGGAATTCCGTTCGCCCCGGCGGATCCGCGTGTCCCGACGGGCTATCGGGCCGCGGTACCACGCCCGCGGGGAGCTCGAGATGCTCGGCGTTCGACATCTCGCCCGTACCCTCCCCGCCGTTATACGTCGTCCGGCCCGCCCGCACCCTACGCAGGAGCCGTAGCGCGAGCACGGAGTCCGACCCGTCTACCGATAGGCTACGCTTCCGTAGCTCCTCCTGGAGCTGGTCCCGGTCGGCCGCGAAAACCCACTCGTCGTCCGACCCGGAGCCACTCATCCGCTCGGCCCGTCGCGGGACGCGGGGAAATTCTTACTGGCGCGCGGCCTGTTTTGATCCGGCCGCCGACACGATCCCGGCACGCGCAGGGCACACCCGCGTGATCGCGCGGCTAACACTTGTTTTGCCCACTCGACAAATAAACGGCGGTCGCTCGGTTCGAAATTCCGAGGGCACCGCTGGAAGAGGTTTCCACCGATTCAAATCTCGATACCGTCAATTTGACGGCCCCTTCTATAATCCACTACTCCCTTCACCCATGCAACATGCACTCACGTCCCGTCGTCCTCCGTTCACGCGAAAGTTACGGGCCCGATATTACCGTTAATTTACGTGGGCACCACGTTGGGCGCCAAATTCTT